TGAACTCTGGGCCTGGGTGCTGTCCCTCAGCTCTTCAGCTCAAGGCTAGAGCTCTACCACTTGAGCCACAGCGCCACTTCCGGCTTTTTTCTTATGTGGTGTTGAGGAATCAAACCCAGGGCCTCAGGCATGCAAGGCAAGCACTCTACCACTGAGCCACCTTCCCAGCCCCCTTCTTCTCTTCCTCTCTCTCTCTCTTTTCTTTCTTTATGTGTGTGTGTGTGTGTGTGTGTGTGTGTGTGTGTGTGTGTGTCAGTCCTTAGGTTTGAACTCAGGGCCTCTGTCATCCCTAAGATTTTTTTGCTCAAGGTCAACATTTTATACTTTGAGCCACAGCTCATTTCTGGCTTTTTGGTGGTTAATTGGAGATAAGAGTCTCAGACTTTCCTGCCTGTGCTCGTTTTGAACCCAAATTCTCAGATCTCAGCCTCCTGAATAGTAAAACTTCTTTCTTAGCACCTTTTCCCTAGAATACTTCCAGAAAAAAAATCCCAATAGGAAAATGTCACTGAGGACTGAAAAATGCCCCTCTAACTAGAGGAATATGTTAGATCAACCCTTCATAGAACCAAGTTCTGTGTGTGTGGGTGTGGGTGTGGGTGTGTGTGTGTGTGTGTGTGTGTATAGAGAGAGAGACAGACAGACAGAGAGACAGAGCAGGGAAGAAAGAAAGAGAAAAAGAGAAAGAGGAGTGAGGCAGGGAGGCAGGGAGGCAGGGATGGAGGGAGACAAAGATGGATTGTATTTATGTCCTAAGTCTGAGTTGGGTTCTGTCCTTCCCAAGGCAGGCTCATTTGGTTTCCAAGGCCCTGAATGTCTGATCTTGCTCCCCCTCAGGACAATCTTTACTTCCTATCAGCTAGAGGAGCTGGAGAAGGCATTCAACGAGGCTCACTACCCAGATGTCTACGCCCGGGAGATGCTGGCCATGAAAACAGAGCTGCCAGAAGACAGAATACAGGTAACCCTGAGCCCTCCTGAGACATCTCTGTCTCTAGGGTCCCAGAAACCCATGAGGCTGCCTCCTATACCTGCTATGGACAAGAATTTGTCCATGATCATGTCCTCAGGAAGGTTGGTTTATTTTAAGCTGACAGGTGTCTGCAGGTGTCTGCTGCCCACCTTTGGAGTAAGGTGGAAAGGACAAGAGGCTTAGCAGATGCCTGGCCGGCTGGTCCAGCCTAGCTTCTGGAGGAGTATATCACACAAACCCTGAGAGGCCTGGTGAGGAAAGATGGAGCTCTGGGGAGGGGGCGGGGGGTGAGGCCGGAGCAGGGTCTCTGCCACTGTAGGTACCTGTTCTAAGGTAAGAGGTAGCCTCAGGGTGCTCTGAGTGTCTGTGAAGGGGAATGAGGCTTCTTTCCCTGACTAGGCCTATTTCCCTTTCCTCCTCTTCCCTCCCCTCTCCTCAGCTTCTACCCCATGCAGCTGCCTTGCATCTCTTTGCTCCCCTCAGAAGGCTGCTGCTGCTCCTGTCCTGAGCTTTTCTCCCTGGCTTCTCCCTGGTCTGGCCTAGGATGGGGCGAAGTGTCTGGGAGTGGGCTCACCAAGGCCCTCCTCTTCTCCTGGTTCTGTGTCCTAACAAACCATTGGCCTGGACTGCCATGTTGTTGCTGTGGGTGACGCAGCAGCAGCAGGGCCTTTCCCACACTAGAAGCCTCTAGTTGAGCTAGAGAAGCATGCCCATCCCTGCCCAGAGAGAGGAATCTGATAGCTTCAAAGCAACACTTCCATGGAGCAGAAGAAGAGAGTGGGAGGGAGGAACTTTTCCAGAAGAGCTAGAGTAGTTTGAGAGCTCCAGGGGCTAGATCCCCCCATCTCTGCTGGGACTGGGAGTGCAGGGTGGGGTCCTAACTGCGGGGCACTCTAGGGCTTCTTTATCCTCTCCATGTGATGCATGCTGGGTGGGGCAGGAAGGACTGTAGCTACAGAGGGAACTAAAGAAGGTATGTGGATTGCTTCCTACTCTCACTGAAGGACCAGAGAATAGAAAATAGAGCTGTGAGCTGCTTTCTCAAAAGGGCCTTCCTCTTCCTGAAAAATCTATTAGGAATTGCAACTCACAGCTTTAGACATTGACACTAACAATAAGCTCAATTATTCATAAGCAGATTACATTCGGTGCATTTACCACAGTGGCTGGAACCATCCTCCCTCACCCAGTTGGGCGCCGGGGGTTGATAATGAATTGTGTGTGCGCACATGCGCGTGCACACACAGGCGTACACACACATGCACAATGCACATGTACATATGTGCACCTGTGTGCAGGGAGGAGGGGCCTGTGGGTTGTAAACCAGAGGCTGTAAATATATGGCAGTAACCTCTGCCTTCCATTCAGTAGCACTGAGTTGGCCACTGCAAGTGGCTGTGGGGCCCCCATTAACAGGCCCACACTGGCACTATTGATTATAAAAAGGAACCTCTGGTAAGCCCAGCTCAGAGAGACAAATGGTGCAGTTTTCTCTCATATGCAGAAGCTAGATCTGAAATACACTGAGACGTGATAAAATATATAGGACTCTAGGCATTCATACACAGTGAGACCAAAGGAAGATACTCAGGGGAAGAACACAAAGGCTCAATGCCTAGGTGTATCTGATCCTATACAATAATATTTATTGAAATGAACTCCAGGAAATGGAAATGAGAGGGGTTTTTTTCTTGGTTACTGTTTAAAAAAGAAGAAGAAGAGCCAGGTACTGGTGGCTCAGCCTGTAATCTCAGCTACTCAGGAGGCTGAGATCTGAGGATAACAGTTCAAAGCCAGCCTAGGCAAAAAAGTCCCTGTGAGACTCTCATCTCCAATTAAACATTCAAAAACCAGAAGTGGCGCTGTGGCTCAAGTGGTAGAGTGCTAGCCTTGAGCACAAAGAGACTCAGGGACAACCCCCAGGCCCTGAGTTCAAGGTCCACAACCACCCCCACCAGCAACAACAACAAAAAGAATAAGAAGAATAAGAAACCCCTAGTCCCTTGTTTCTGGCGGGGGGAAGTCTAAAAGCAGGCTGTGGTGGTGGGTGTGTGAAGGCTGCTGGGCTCAGCATTGGGGAAAGGCTGTCCTTTCCTATACCTGCATGGCCACAAATGCTCCAGCAGGCCTGAGCTGGGCTTCATTATGTTGCCTCGAAATAATTTGTAGGAAGTGCTGGAAGCCGGTCAGGACCAGCAGAGCTGGGTGGAGTAAGGGATGTTGATTCACCTGGGGCTGTGAGGGAGGGTGACAGACTTGCAGATATGGGAGAAACAGACCAAGAGACTCTCAGACTCTTCCAGATCATGTGGCTATTAAGTGCTGCCCTTTTTGTTGTTGGTGGTGGTGGTTGTGGGGCTTGAACTCTTGGCCTGGGTGCTGTCCCTGAGCTCTTCAGCTCAAGGCTAGCTCTCTACCTCTAGAGCCACAGCTCCACTTCCGGTTTTCTAGTGGTTTATTGGAGATAAGAGTCTCAAGAATTTTCTTGCCCTGGCTGGCTTTGAACCATGATCCTCAGATCTCAGCCTCTTGAGTAGCTAGGATTACAGAAGTGAGCCACAGGCGCCCAGCCTTAAGTGCTAGCCTCTTGAAGGGGTTGGGGAATGCTCAGCTGGCCCTGCCCAGATTCAGTTTACCTAGTGGCCTGGGAAAGGTCATAGTATGCATGAGGAACAATCCCAGCTATAATTTCCAAAGCGTGTGCCAGGTGTTCTAAGCATACCACGGTCACAGGAAAGGCACGGTGCTATGGTTTTGGGGAACACTGGTCCTGGGTTCACAGCTGGGCATCCACCCCTGCTAGTCCTCATGGGCTCAATGGGAAAGAGTAGCACCTCACAGAGATAAAAAGTGAACTGTGAGTGAACTGTGTCCTGAGCAGTGCAGGCTCAATCAGGTTCCGCCCTGACTCCTTAAATCCTAGTGACAGCAGATGGAGACCGGGCCTCCGTTAGAACTGAGGGAGTAGAGCCCAGCAGCCTGCCCAAGGTTGTATAGCTACTAAGCGAGGGACACAGACTGGAATCAAGGCTGAATCTGAAGCCCATCCTTCCACCACTGGCCTTGTGGGTTTGAAGCCTGGCTTTGACAGGAAGCTGGAAGGAGAGAAGTGGATGGAAGTCAGGAAAGGGTCCTCCTTCACAGTGTCTTTATCACAATGGTCAAGGCTAACAGAGTTTTGGGCACTGTGGGGGAAAAAAAGGAAAGGAAAGGAAAGGAAAGGGGAAAAAGAAGAAAAGAAAAATGCTCATAGGCTAGGGATGTAGCTCAGTGGTAGAGTGTTCGCATAGCTGTACAAGGCCCTGGGATTTGATTTCCAGCAATAAATAAATAAATAACACCCAAGTTCACTTGTAGCCAAACTTCTATGTTTTTGCCTCTTAAGTGGCTTTTTTTTTTTTTTTTTTGGTACTGGAGCTTTAACTCTGGGCCTAGATGTTGTCCCTTAGAGTTTTTGCTCAAGGCTAGTGCTCTACCACTTAAACATAGCTCCACTTTTGACAGGTTCATTGGAGATAAGAGTCTCTTGGATTTTCCTACCTGAGCTGGCTTTGAATCGCCACCCTCAGACCTCAGCCCCCTGAGTAGTTAGAATTAAAGGTATGCCTGGCCAAAGCTATTTTTTTTCCAATGGGCAAATTTATGTACATGAGTGAAAACTGAATCCTGCCCCTCAGCAGCCCATCAGTGACTTTTTTTTGTCTGTCATGGAGCTGAACTCTGGGCCTGGGCGCTGTCCCTCAGCTCTTCAGCTCAAGGCTAGCACTCTACCACTTGAGCCACAGCGCCACTTCTGGCTTTTTCTGCTTATGTGTTGCTGAGGAATTGAACCCAGGGCCTCATGCATGCAAGGCAAGCACTCTACATCTGAGCCATCTCCCCAGCCCTCCTAATCAGTGACTTTTGTGTCCTTCTAGAACTAGTTCAGGGACACTCAGCAGAGCTCTGGGAACACAGGATGTAGGAACTATTCCTCCCAAGTTACAGAGATGCACCTGTGGCAGAGGCTTCTGTTGGACGTGCTCTGAGTGCTCCTTGCTCATCAACATTTCCCCTCAGCATGGAACCAATGCATCTTCAAGTGGACAGCTACCATTCCAGTGCCTGTTGCCAGCTTGCCTGCCCCAGATTTTGGGTCAGAAATATGCATGTGTGTGGCTTGTGTGTGTTGAGATGGAAAAGAGGAATCATTAGTGGTGGTGAAATGGAAAGGTTGTTTTGTGTTTTTGTAGTACTGGGGATTGAACCAGGTCCTCTCCCATGCCTGGTAACTGCTCTACCATGGAGCTGCACTGGAATCATGATTGGATGGGATCTCAAGGAAGTGAATCTGAGATCTACATTTGGCCTGAGATCATGAATGTGGCAGGAGTCCGGCCATTTCTCATGTCTGGGCCTAAAGAAAGGCAGAATGGACTTTATAAGGTCACCTCACCAGGCCCAGCCTGGGGCTGCCATTGTTGGAATGGGGTAAAGGTCAGGTGGAGTTTAACCACACTGAGCCACATAGCCATGCTAGGCCAAGCCAAGCCTTGGAATCCTCTAGGTATAACTGAGGCCTGCTTTCCCAAGACTAAGGACCACTCACAGTGATTACATGAAGGCCAGCCACACCTACTTCCCAGCTTTGTTTCACAGCCAGGGAATCAAATTGAACCCTTAGTGACTCATTTGTAAAAGAATAATAATAATAATAGTAACAACAACAACATTATTTTTCTGAATTGCTAACTTTATAAAGGTATTATAAGCTAGGCACTCATGATTCCCACCTGCAATCTCCAACTGACCACCCAAAAAATAAAAATGGAGCGGTGTGGCTCCAATGGTAGAGGGCTAGCCTTGAGTGAAAAGCACGCAAGAACATACACAATAACTAAAAAGTTATTGTGAGAACTATCCCAGGTACCAGCTGCCTTCCAACTAGACAGGCCTTAATCTCATGCCCATATTTTTGGATAAGGAAACTAAGGAGTTGAGAGGCGAAG